ACTGGAGTGGGTTGCCGTGCCCTCTTCCAGCGGATCTTTCCTACCCAGGGGTCAAAGATCCCCACTTTAATGCTTCTGGACTGCTGGTGTAGCTGCCACAAGTCTGAGCTTGTGTTGGTAGGTGTGCGGTGATGTTTAGGTCACCAAGAGGTGGTCAAGTCTTCAGGTACCATCTTGGGTTTCACTCTGTGCACCACATTGTGACCGTCATGCAGAAAGGGATCAATGAGGAGTGTTCAGACCTGAAGTCTTTTACGTGAAGGAGTGAGGAGGTCTATTTTCCATAGCATCAGAGGTGGAGCAGGCTTCCTCGGCAGGCCACAGAACCATCTAGTCTTGATGGAGACAGCACCCCAATAGTTGGAGCTGCTCAGTGATGGAGTGGGCCCTTTAACAATGTAAAGACTTGGATTATGATGATGGGATTAGGGTGATTCTCATGATATTATCATTGAAACGTGTTTTTTTGAATGTTGTGATAGAGGCATCATTGCATAGTGATTGAGAACTGGGCTTTGGAGCCAGCCTGTCTTGGAGAGTTAATAGGTCCCGCGTCTTGGAGTAGTTAGGGGAATAAAGCACACAGATCGGTACCAGGGACGCAGTAAGTATGTGGTGAATGGTACTGTTATTTTAAAGAGAAAGAACAAGTTGTTTTCTTTCTGTACAACTATTAGCCTCCTGCTCTACTGTATACACACAGTTCCCCCCTTTTAAAAAAAATTTTTAAATGGCTGGTCCAGGTGCAGTAGAAGGTAGTTTTTGCTTTTGAAAGAAAGTCGACTCAGGGACTGCCCCAATGGTCCAGTGATTTTGACCTTGCCTTCCAGTGCAGGGGGTGCGGGTTTGATTCCTGACCAATAAAAAAATAAAACGGAAGCAATACAGTAACAAATTCAGTAAAGACTTAAAGAAAAGAAAGTTGACTCAGTTGACTTGCAAGGCCTTGTTCTACACTGAGATATGATTCCATGATCATGATTTCATGATATGATAAGTTACTTGAATGGTTGGAGTTGTTGAACAGGCTACTTTGCTGGGAAAGAGAGAGGGTGAGAGAAAAGTGTGAGAGTCAGAACGTGCCAGGCACTTTGATGTCCTCTCACTGAATGCCAGAACCACCTTTAGGTGAGCCCCTCTGCATAAGCGTAAGGCCGGAGGTGAAGGGCGAGCATGGCTGAAATACGTTCACAGGGAGCAGCTGTGGGGTACCTGTTCCTTGCAGACACCACTGCTGAGTTTGGGGCAGAGATGGATGGGAACTTGCCACAATGTCAGGCTCCTCAGGGTGATTCTTAGGCGGAGATAGAGGTGTGATTTGGATCGAGTAACAGCAGTACGTGGCCCTGAAAGGGCAAAGAAGGGTGCAGATGGTGTGGGGGACAGAAATGCCCATGCCACACCGTCTGCCACTAAGCCCACTGCCTGTCCTTCTGCCAGCAAGTGGCAGCTCGTTGTGGAATTGAATGGGCAGGGAGATTCTGTTGCCGTCAGCCAACAAGCACACTATCCAGGTCAAAAAGCCTTTGACATGAGCAGAGGGAGTAATGACCAAATAGTATCCGGCTGGGGTGTTTTAGTGTCAGCCCAGAGGTCTAAACCAGGGTTTCTCAACCCAGCTCAGACACCGCTGTTATTTGGAGCTGGATAATTCCTTGGTGCAGGGGCTGCCCTGTGCCCTGGAGGATGTTTAACAGCATCTCTTAATCCATGAACTTGATTCCTGACGTTGCCTTCTGTACTCTCAGGAGCAGAGTGGCCCCCAGTTGAGGACCACTGATCTAAATAAGCAGATCAAGTGGTGCTTATAAGGGCTCCCTTTTCCAGAGCTGCTCCTACTTGTAGAACCAGAAGTAGGTGCTCTTTTTCTCTAGTGCTCTGGCTGCCTCCTTACTCAGCTCAGGCCCAGCGAAAGCAAGTTTGAAGTGGGGAACACGCCTCTGAACTGTCTTCCATTGTCTGCCTCTAGGGCCCCCAGCTCCTCCTCGGGCAGGCGTCTGGCCAGGTCTGCCCTGGCCTTGCTGGGTTGGGAGTGCAAGGGTGATGTCATTGCACCTTCCTGGGAAGGGCAGAACAAAGGATGGAGTCCCCAAAGACAGGAGACCTCATCCTCAGCTGGCCTGCTGGGGAGATTTCTTTCCCCCTCCCTTTCCCTCCTTCCGGCTTCAGAAGTTCACCAAGTACTCCATTGTAAGAGGACACGCTAAGCTGGCCCGGCTCTGTGTCTCTCGGCTGAGCCCATTTCCTGCCCCTCATGTGTCGTAAGGGCGTTGGTTCTGGACCAGTCCCTGGATGGAATCTTCCATGCCTTTTCCAGTGAGTGGTGCAAGCCTGAGGAACTTGAACCCTCTGGTTTTTCTCGCACGCTCATGCCACCCAGAGCTTGCTCTTGAGGCTGGAGGCAGAGAAGAGAGCGAGATGTGGGAGAGAGGGCTAGAGAGCAAGTTCTCCTTCTTTCTGTTTAGATTTGGTTTTGAACTTCTCTTCCTCTTCTTTCCCTGCTTCTTCCTGGAGGTCCTGAAGACCACAGCCGCCCTGGGGAGCCTTCCCCTCACAGAGCCTCAGCCTCTTCTCTTCCACTCAGCTCCCTCTGTTCCACCCCCGTGACCTCGTTGTTTGCATCTTCCCAGGGAAGGGTTGGGGGTGGGCTCTGACTCCTCAGGACAGGGTGCTGTAGGGCTGGCTGACTGTCTCTGGAAGGAGATCCTCGGAGTCTCCTTGTAAAGGAACCTATTTGTTCAGAACCTGAAAGAAGCCGGAGGTGTTTCTATAAGGTGAGATTCACCCGAAGGAGTGACAGTTGGCTGGGGACACATGTGGTACTTGTTTATTTAGGAATAACTTTACCCAAGCAGGTTTTCATTTCCATTTTGTTCCCATGAGAGGCTGGGTGTGGCAGTGGCATGGAGCCCCAGACCCTTTAATTACAGCCTAGGATACCATCAAGAGCTTTATTAAAGACATTTCCAACCATGTAGCACATAAAAGATATATAATTTAGAAAGAAAATAGCTGACCCTGAACACCTCTGAACCACAAGTCACTCTCCATCTGTGGCATGCGCCTAGGGGAAGCCTCATGTGTCTGTGTGCTCTGCTCTGGACCTGCTCTTTCAGAACAGCCAACCTAAGGCCAAAAAATGCAGCTACCATGTCCCTGTTGTAAAGATACCAGCCATCAGGATGATTATGTGATTAATAATGCATGGGGTCTTTTCTCTGCCACCGATCATGATGTTATTGGCGTAGCTCCTTTTTCAGTCTCCACTTTGGCCCTCACTGCCTTTTTCCTTGTTCCCTCAGTCCTGCCCTCTTTGATCTTTTGTGTCTTTTCAGTAGGCCTTTGTCATGGGGAAAGGCCCTCTTTTCCTCTGGTGGGCTGTTCTCTCAGGGGAGGTTGGAGCCAGGCGAGCTGTTGGCTGTGCAGGTGGGCGCCTGTCTTGGAAGGTGTCCCAGTGGCCTCACCTGCCTGGTTGGCAGCAGTGAAGGCTCATCTCTTGTCTCTGCCTCAGATGGTAAAGAATCTGCCTGCAGTGCAAAAGACCCAGGCTTGGTCTGGGTCAGAAAGATCCCCTCGAGAAGGAAATGGCAACCCACTCTAGTATTCTTGCCTGGAGAATCCCGTGGACAGAGGAGCCTGGTGGGGTATAGTCCATGGGGTCACAAAGAGTTGGACACGACTGAGTGATTCACACAGACTTGTCTCTGTCTAGCTTCCTCCCTGTGGTGGGTGGAGGCCTTAGCAGAACCTTCCAGGCAGATATTCCCAGGGCCCCCTGACCATCCTGGGAACCCAGAACACCCAGGCCACCAGGTACACACCCCATCACCAAGGCTGCTTTTTACCTGTCACTAGATGGTACAAAGATACAGAAAAAGTTGTTGGGGTCTCCTCCCTTTCTTGTAGTTTCTTCTTGGTTGGCATGGGCCTCACACAGGAAGGAGGAAGTCTTGGGTCCTTTCAGGACTAATTCATGCTGATGGCAGTGGGGTGAGTATGTGGTTAAAGGGTAGCTTGATAGAGAACAGTCAGGGAGTTTGAATCAGTGGCCTGGGCACACTCCGTGGCTCTCCGCCGAAGATCTGCAATGGCCTGTGTTTAAAACACCCTGCAGAGCAAGGAGATGGGAAACCTGTTTGTATGGGGTGCGAAGGGCCTGTTCTAGGTAGTTGGGTCTAGAATTTCTCGCTTTGGCTTGGACAGACCTTGATCGCTGAGGCTTGAAAAGCTTAATCTTGTTTCCTTGATGATTTAGATGTACAACTGATTTAGATGTACAGCCACCCCACTTTAGACCGTAAACCAGCAGTGGCCTTTTCCACGAACGCTTGAAGCTTGGAAATGATGGTCGTCCACTCACTCTATGGAAGGGGATGCTGAGCCCAGAGTCTCAGCACATATTTGACACAGTCTCCTCAGGCCCATGCCCTGGGCTCCCAGGCTTGGCCAGCGCTCCTTGTGCTCTGCCACATTGCCCACCATCTTCTCTGTTCACTGAACATCCAGCTAAGCAGGCGAAAGGGTCATAGCAGATCAAGGTCACGGGTGAGTTTGTCTTGTCAGGTGATGCCTGGTCCTTCGTACGTGAGAGAAGCAGTTTCTAGCTGTCCCCTGAGCTTTTCTGCCCCGTGTCCTCGTGCACACTGTGTGCTTCTCCTGCACTTGCCTCTGGAGGAGAAACAGCTGTGACGCACACGTCAGAAACTTTACCAGCCGGGTATTACACTAGTGGGCAGGGCTGCCCACTGTGACCCACATCCTGCTGCCTCAGCAGAGGTGGGAGAAAATGGAATGAGCGCAAGCAAAGGGTGCTCTGCTGGTGGGTATGCTTAGGGGCTCAGACAGTCAAGGACTGTCCGTTTCTTCTCTTCCCGGGTTGTTGGCTATGAGGTTCACTGCAGTTGAGCTTTGCTCTTCTTCCTTTGGCTGGCATCTCGTACCCCTCACCCACCGCCCCCAGGCTGTGACTGGTGGTAAAGCAAGTTCTCCTTTGCTTACAGATGAACGTGAAGCTGTGCAAAAGAAGACCTTCACCAAGTGGGTCAACTCCCACCTTGCCCGGGTGTCCTGCCGGATCACAGATCTGTACACTGACCTTCGGGATGGACGGATGCTCATCAAGCTACTGGAGGTCCTCTCTGGAGAGAGACTGGTAAGGGGGTGGGGGGGGGGGATGGCGGCTGTGAAGTGTCTTGTACCGTAGGTGGGGAAATGGTTTTGAAAAATCAAGTGTGGGCTTGTCTCTTGTAGATTTATGCAGTTAATGGCTGATACTTATGAGGCGCAGAGGCTTGATGAGTTGATGAGCACGGTGGGGAAAGCTCCAGGGTAGCATTCTGAATCTGGATGATTTTCTTGAATTGTAATGAAGTGGCCTGGTTCTGGTTATTGGTGAAGTTATTGTCTTTGGTCAGAAAGATCCTGGCTGGTGTCCCTGTTAAATAGCATGATGCTGGAAATTTAAGGACCAGGCTTGGGCGCTGGCCTCCGGGATGAATCTGTATCCCTTGAGATCATGGAATAATTCTAAACTTGTGTCTTAGTGATTCTCTGGAAAATCTGAGCTGCTGTTTTAAGGTAGCAGGAACTGAGTTCAGTGGTCTCTGGCGTTTTTTTGTTTCTTCCATGCACACTTTTTATTCTGGGGTGGAGGGAGAGGCTGGTGTTTTGTCTCCTTGGAAATGTGGAGCTTCTGATGAACTCACCCAGCCTTTTTGGGCAGAGGAGTTGTCAGCCTACTGTGAAAATGTTCTCCCCTTTCTGTTTCCCCAGAGCTTCCACGGCTGTCTCTGATGTGACTTTTGTTTATGAACCTTAGACCCAAGAATCTTAATGCAGTCACTGTAACTGGCCCAACAGGTTTTGTCTGGCTTTGGTGCAGAGATGGATGCCGTCTTCTACCGGAGTATAGACAGTTCCATAGGTGGTGGTGGGGCTGAGCCACAGGCTGACACCCAGGGATCGAGCCCACATCTGCAGTGACATCACCAGGAAAATATGATGCTGGTGGTTGGCAGGGCTGCCAGAAAGCCTTATTTTTAACTTGATCTCCACCCCTGCAACTTGACAGCCGCAGTGGGTCTGTATGCAGACCAACCCACACACCTCTGACCGTAGGCAGAGGTTGTCCCCTGTCCTAACATTATACCACAGACAGAACTGCCTCTTTGAGGCCAGGTAGTAATAGTCAGGTTTCTGTCTCTTGACCCCTCCGTTCAGGAACAGGGTCCCCCAAACAGAGCAAAGCTCCGTCTCTTCAGCACCTCTGGTCCACGTTCTTTGTTCCTGAGCATGCATGTCTTGCTGCCTCATTTTCTTTGAGACGTTATGGGTCAAACTGGACAAACCAAATAGACAAAGGAGACTCCTGCCTCTGGCCGTGATGCCTCCTTGAAGGCAGTCTGTGAGGTGGGAGTCGGGGCAGTGGGTTCACATGGGGAGGGCTGGTCATTTACTGCATTTTGGTTTATTTTTTGACAGTGAGTCTAGACCAGAAATATTGTGATATGCACCTTTAAATATAATTGTTGTAACCAAACTTTCTTACCAATACCACCCCCTCCCCCTATTTTTCCCTCTTAATGTTTAACCGAGTGTAATTGTCTATTGATTTGGGGTGGGGGAGTGATGTTTTGAAAGTAGCTAAAAAAATCATTAAAGGTTATGTGAAAATTAGTTTTAACATTTATTTTTGTCCCAGTAGGGTCTCATGGGGTCTCATGGGGAGCAAATGGTTCACCCTGGAAGGCCTGTAGTTCTTTTATACCAAGAAGATTGTTGTCTGTGATAATGTCCACATAATAAATGGGGTCAAGCCCATTGCCCTTCATTCTGAACAGGGCAACAAAAATATGAGAAGAAAAAAGCAGCCAACAAGGCATAATTCTTGGTGGTTTGTAGAAACCTCCCATTCCTGTCTTTATTTGCTTCCAGCAGTATATATATTTCCCTTTTTTTGCAGTGACCCAGAGGCCTGGGAGAGCAGGGGTGAAGGAACATGAGGGGGCTGCTCTCTGCGTCCTCTCAGGCAGTCAGGGGCAGAGCTTGTCTGTAGCAATGCCCTACCGCTTCATAAAACCTTGAGTGCCTTGACTTCTTTTATTATCCATTCCTCCCAGCCACCTCTGACTATTGGCTGGGGAGTCCGATCAAGTCTTCTTATTCCAAAAGTGAAGATACCATGGGGAGTTCCCTGGTGGTTCAGGTGGCAGGGCTCTGAGCTCTCACTAACGAGAGCCCTGGTTCCATCCCTGGTCAGGGAACTGAGATCCTACAGACTCTACCACGGGGCAAAAATAATAATAATAATAATGTTTAAAAAAAAAAGTAAGGATACCGTAGACAGGCTTCCCTAGTGACTCAGATGATATGGAATCTGCCAGTATGCAGGAGACCCAGGTTTGATCCCTGGGTTGGGAAGATCCTCTGGAGAAGGACATGGCAACCCTCTCCAGTTTTCTTGCCAAGAGTATTCCATTGATAGAGTACCCTGGCAGGCTACGTCCATGGGATCTGGAAAGAGTCAGACATGATTGAGTGACTAACACCATGGAGAGAGCAAGCTACGGCTCTTATTCCTTTGTACTGGAGATTTTTGGCTCTTTTGGCCCTGTGGCTTATCTGGTTCATGGAGTCTTCTGGAAAAGACACAGACCACACTCTGCTGTTGGCCACAGATGCTGCCAGGGACTCACGTTAGAGATGCTCCCCAAGAAAGAGAAGATTCATCCGTGAGGGCTTGCCCCAAATGATCCTTGAATCTTCAGATTCCAAAATGAGTGCTATTGCTAGAACTTCCAGGCCTAGGTAAATTAATGTCCACAGATAAATGTGTCTCATCAGATAACATTCAGTCAGCTCTGGGCTTTCTGCACCAGTGATCCGAATCCCTGGGTTACACAAGCATTTGCACTCCATCTGCAGCTGTGTCTCCGGCAGCATTTCAGCACAAGCACGCACCACCAACTTGGCAGTGAGTAGGAGATAGATGTTTGAGGGACTGGAGTATCTAAATTTATTTTATTAGCAGATTCTTGAAGCCAGCTCATGCTTCAAGGAGGAAGTTTTCTTGATTTTTACTGTGCAAAGTTCAAAAAAATGCATTCACTTAATGATCCACATCATTTCACCCTAATCCCACCCTGCATTTATTTTTTTTTTTTTAATTTTTATTAGTTGGAGGCTAATTACTTTACATCATTACAGTAGTTTTTGTTATACATTGATATGAATTAGCCATGGATTTACATGTATTCCCCATCCCAGTCCCCCCTCCCACCTCCCTCTCCACCCGATCCCTCTGGGTCTTCCCAGTGCACCAGGCCCGAGGACCCACCCTGCATTTAGACTTAATAAAATCTGGGTTAGATTTGAGCAGGTTTGGGGTAGATGTTGGAGTTATCAAGACACTTGATTCTTAGTACTGTGGAATATGAGAAGGCAGGAATCCCCACCCCCCAACACCCACCTACTCCTAGTCCTGACTTGGGTTGGCTCCGTATCGCTATTGTTGCCTCAAGGTGTGTTAGCTCATGGGGCAGTGAGGAATCTCTGAGGCTGAGCCCAGAAGCTGCTGCAGACTGGGATTGAGTTAATGACAAAACCATTTCTTTCCAGTGTGTTACTCTGAAATTACCATGGACTATAACTTCATAAATATCTGACTTTAAAGTTCCGTAAAGAATATAGACCACCCCTTACATATATACAATGGAATATTACTCATCCCATTAAAAGGATGAAATAATGCCATTTGCAGCAACATGGATGGGCCCGGAGAGTGTCATACTGAGTGAAGTAAGTCAGAGAAGTAGAAATATCGTATGACATCCCTTATATAAGCAATCTCAAAGGAAATGGTACAAATGAACTTACAAAATAGAGACTCACAGACTTAGAAGACTAACTTATGGTTGTCAGGGAGAAGGGCAGTTAGGGGGTTTGGGATGGGCGTGTACACACTGCTGTGTTCTAAATGGATAACCAGCAGGGACCTGCTGCACGGCACATGGAGCTCTGCTCAGTGTCACGGGGCAGCCTGGATGGGCAGGTGGTTTGGGAGAGAAGGGATACATGAATATGTATGGCTCAGCCCCTTCACTGTTCACCTGAAACTGTCACAGCATTGTTTATCACCTGTACCCAACACGAAACAAACAGTTAAAATATAAAGAAGGCCCCCCCCCCAAAAAGAATATAGACCGCCTTTGACTTTGGTGTCAGCTGACTAAATAGAGGCGGTGAGCTCAGAATCTGTGCTGGTCACTTTGTCATTAGTCGCAGGTCCCAAGGCCAGATTAGAAATGGGACTTGAAGGGTTAAGGTTGCGTGACCCACTGATATTTGGAAAGAGTGGGGCCTCTGGACTTTGGGAGTGAAGTAGAGCCCACAGGTCCTCATCCAAGTCAGAAGCTGGCCTGTGCCCCCTTCCCTCTGTGGGCCTTGACGTGAAGAATGGTTCTGTGTGAGATGGCTTCCTGCCTTACGTCTGCCAGACAGCCCTCTCCTCTGACCGAGAGGACAAGGTTTTCTGAACACCTCTATTCTCCTCCAGCTCCCACTATTACCAGTAACAGGTATTGCTGATTTCTGCCTGCCTGTTGTTTTCCTAATATTCTGTCTTCTTATTCTGTTAATCAATCTCAAAGAAGACAAAGCAACAAAAACAGGATTTTTTTTTTTTTTAAACCACCCTTAATTCCAAAACAGGCTGAACTAGGTGGAGAAGATAGACTTACCATAAGATTTGCTAAGCCTTAAATAAATCCCATGTTGAACTACCCTGAGTGCATTTTATATAAAACCTTTGTTAGGAGAACCATGCTGGCATGTATTGTTGTAGAGACAGGATTTTATGGACTGGCCACAGAACCTGCCTGTTTTTTATATCTCCTGTGAGGGAGAATTTGCTTTGGTTCTAAACAACCAGCCAGAGAAGAATGTCCCTGTTAAATTCAAATCTAATTGCACAGATACGAAAAATGAATTAATAGTAACAGGTAATAGTAATACCATGTGATAAAGAGCTGAATGAATGGCCCCAAAGCACTGGCGTTCAGAAAAGGAAGCAGCCTTCTGGATGGAGTGTCAAGAAACCCTACCCGGTGTGTGGGGTTGCAACTGGATTCAAGAGGAGAGGCTCAGGTGTGGATG